TACTACTTACTTCCAAACTACTCTCTCTCTCTCTCTCTCTCTCTCCATTTTCCAAAAGAAAGCAAAATACACCCATCTTATCAACCTTCCATATTTTTATCAATATACTCTCCCACTCTCTCCCCCACCCCCACAAAAACAAAAAATAAAATAAAATAAACACTACTAGTTTAGCTCTATCAAAATTAAGGTACACACCATGGGAGTGCTGCCACAAGTTTTGCTGGTGTAGACACCGCCTTTGTAGAACCTGAAGTCTGCAACCACCTGAAATGCAATGCTCACAGGACGCACTGTCCCAACTGCATGTTTCAGTTCATCTTCAGCACCCTGAGAAACAAAAACATGAGAAAGTTAAGGAAAAGCACTTTCACAACTTCACAGAAGAAGAGGTAAGATTGTGAATTGGGAGATTCAACTCAGAATCAACAACTAATTTCCCCCCTCCGAAGGAACCTTCTCTGGTGCGTTTTTGGGTGCCCCTAACTTTTATAATATAAGGTTGACGTATCATAGAAACTCTTTCCTTTGATTGATGTAAAAGAAGATAACACATGTGAAAAATGGATAATGCTTTCTTGTGTGTAATACTAGAAAATGTTACCATAAAACATAATAAAAACCATAAGTATCACTGTCAACAGGTCGATTGGAAGGGTCAAACATTGATTTTGATTGTTTTTAACCATACCCAGTTTTCATTTTGGACCAGACCAACCAAAGCACTGGTCGTCATTGCAACTGGTAGGACTGGCCGGTATGATTCAGTTTTGATGAATATAGTAACTGGTGACCACATTTCCAAAAGATTTGCATATAAAATCTTAGTATGCACTCACAGCACTTTAATAGGCCACAATTTGAGATCATCAACATCCTTTCTGGTCTCTTTCCCTCATAGTAAAGTTCTTCGTCATCTAGTTCTAACTCTAGGCAACACAAGGTCTTCTCACTATAAAGTAAAGACAATAGCCATTTACCAAGCTCCAAAATGCATTGTTTTGCTGGTTTTTACATTCGGTCATGGTTTTGCTGGTTTTTACATTCAGATCAAAAAAGAAACCTTTTGTACTTCTTGTCAAGGCTCACATATATCTTACGATGGTTAGGCATCTTCAATAGGTCAGATCGAATAAATGGTGGAGAACCAGATGAACAATTAAAATAAAGGGGGGAGATCAATGAACTCATCATCTTCTTCGTCCCATACTAAGATGTTCTGTTTAGATCAAAAAAGCTGGTCCATGATTCCCATTGCAAGAGACCCAAGAGTGGGATCCAGGAAGATTATAATATTGGAAGTGAGAGAGACACTGAAAGGGATGTTGATGAGCTCAACTTCTGGAGGATGTACCAGTAAAAACTCTCTCTCTCTCTCTC